TTTTTTTTTTTTTTTTTTAACATGTTTGTTAGTTGCCGTTTAGAGATTAGTACTTTTAATGTCTTGTTGATGTCTTTAATTGTACTATTAAAGTTATCTAATGAAGTTTATTTTAATTAAAAAAAAATAGATACCATCCATAATAGACTTAACACAAAATTTTCAACATAAATGAACAAAAAAGATAACATGAGAGGTACTGGTTTTGTCCTTTCACTCTTGAACAACATATCCATGTATAGGCGTATTATTTTCTTGGTCTTCTTGGTTCTTTTTATAGATTGTTGTTCAAGGTGATAAAGATTTGTCTAGGTCAATTGTGTACCTGGGTAGAAGGCTTTTACATATTATTAAATTCTTACCAAATAGGTTCAAGTGTCAAACTAGTCTACCTAACAATTTTCTGAATAATATGCATATGTAGGTATACTAATTTATGTCTTCATATTAATAAGGTAACACAATTTTATATTTCTCTTCATGCATGTTTTCTTAATAGGCAGTTTCAGGATTGGAAAGCCAACTGGGCAAAACTTACATACTAAACTCGACGGTACGAGTGAATTTCATTAATAAACATAAAAAGATACACCTAGTCAGGGAGGACGTAATGAGCCTTACCCTCAAATGCATATCTATCCATAAATAAAAGTTCAACTAATACAAAAATAAAAGGGAGACTTTGGAAAAGGCCAAAGGAGAGAGAAATTTTTTAAAAGAAGCCAAAATGGACAAAATTGCCCTTATTTATTTTTTGATTTCCTAAGGAATCCTTTATATTTGCATGTCTTTGGTGTGAAAGTTGAGAGGTTTTTCTGTTATTTTCGAAAAAGCTTTGGCTTTTTCCAAAAGTGAAATTTTTTTTGTGGCTAAAACCTAAATTTCCTAAAATAGAAACTAAAACCAAAAGCAAATGCAATGCAAAATAAAACAGCAGTATTTTAAATCTAAAATTTAACCATGCGAGGCTTAGAACTCTTAAATTCCTCAATTATCGATGCATTATCGATATTATTAGCAAACTTTCTTTCATTCCTAATTAAACCCTACAATACTCAATTTTAAATTAAAATATAACTAAAGATATATAGAAAATAGAGGGAGAAAAAAGCTGTTGATGTCGGGTAGCTAAGAGAGAGAGAAACAAGCTGATGTAGCATAGCCAAAAGAGGAGAGAGAAGATATGGGACCACATGGATGGGTAGAATGTGTGTAGGGTTTGCTTTTAATTTTTTTTTAATTTTGGGTTGGGCTTATAAGAGCATGTCTAATGCAAGGGCAAGGGGCAAGGGTCAAGGGCGGTGCTATTTTAGCTCCTCAAAATGGTACTATTCACAAAATCTAGCCTCTCAAATTTTTTGTGGTTCTAGTGGTGTGAGGGCTAGGGGCTAGGGGCTAAAACTCAAAATTTGTTATGTTAGTTTATTATTATTTTATTTGTGATAAAAAAATCAAAGCATAAGAAAAGCAACACAAAAATTTATTTTTGGAAACAATTTTGAGCTAAATGAAAAAAGACAAACACTTATTTTTTTCATTTTCATTTAATTTTGTAGTTACTAAGACAACATATATCCGTGCCTCTGGTACATATGCTCAACTAAATCATTTTAGAGACTATCATGAACATAATCATACCTAATTTGTGCATAACGATCCATAAAGCCGCCAAGATTTTGTCTGTCTCTACCCACTAGCTTGAATTCTTCTTCACCTGGTCGCTCATATATTCTTACTTTCTTTGGGTTCATTGGGTCAACTTCTTCTACATCTAAATCTTCTTCATCTTCGGCATGCTCATCCTCCACAATCATGTCGTGCAGGATTATGCAAGCTATCATGATGGTTCGAAGGGGGGTAGCCCTATTCTACATTCGAGTAGCCCCCCGAATGATGCCCAATCAAGCTTGCAGTATACCAAAACATCATTTAATGTCTTTACGGTACGCCTCTTGGTACTTGGAAAACATTTTTTTCCTCTCGTTATTGGGCTTTGGAAATGTTTTCACAAAAGTAAACAACTTTGGATAAATATCGTCAGCCAAATAGTAGCCCATGTTGTAGTCTTCTCCGTTGACATCGTAGGGGTCTTTTTCTTCTGGCAGCTACAACTGGACTGGGCCGCTGTAAGGAGCAGAATGGCTGAAATTTCCCCCTTGTGTCTGAGTTCAAAGATCAGACCCCAAAATGTTTCGAAAGGGTTGTAAAGCCTTAGGAAACACCTTGGTTATCTTCACCAACGAAAATAATGGCTGCTTACAGATAAATTCTTGGCTTGGCATGAGAAGCTTGTGGCATGGGAGCAAAATCGACATGAGTTTAGCACCGAAGAGAAAATTAAGTGTTCCTGGGGAAATATGGGTATTAAGAAAAGGGATTTTGAAGAAAGGTTTGGTTGGAAAAGGAGGGAAAGAAAGGGATGGGTGTCTTAAGTGTTCTTCTGGCAGCTTGATAGAGGTTCTGTCAAATGTGAGAACAGTCTGCTAGAAGAGGGAGAATGGGAGAGAAGGAAGAATGGAGCACGAAATTGCTGGGTTTTGCATGCAAGAGAGGAAGCTTGCTCTCCGAATATGTGTTGTGATGATGGGTAGGAAATGCCTCTTTTTATAAGCGCTAGAAACTATCATTTTTCAAGAAACCCTAATGGTTTCTATCCAATTTGGCCAAGCTTTTTCCGTCCTTTCTCCTCCCATCCCTTCAATCATCCTATTTTGGTGAAATCCACTCTGCCCAATCCCACAAAATCAGGGATTTTGGGGAGCTCAAGGCCCTTTCACGAAGCTGCCTCAGAACTCCCATTTTCAGCCATCTCTTTTCTTTCCTTTCTTCCCTTTTTTTATGGCCAGGTCTGATGAGGGAAAGAAATGGATATGCATGCTGGTTCAAAGGGTGATTTCCCTCCAAGCAGTCTGCACGCCAAGATCCTTGGGTCTTTTGGAAGTTTTTACTTGAAACTTGTTCCTCTCATGTGCTGGAACTTCCCAGCAACTTTGCATAGTGGACTTCCCTTCGTGGCTTTTTGCTTCAGCCAAATGCTGGAGCTTTGCAGCTCTTCTATTGTAATTGTATGGGCCAAGTTGATTTATTGAGTAAGTGGGCTATCTCTTTCAAGCATTGGGCTTTTTATGGTTGAGTCAATAAGCTTTTTTGGTCGGGCTATTTTGGTTAGGATATTTTGGTTGGGATATTTTGGTTGGGGTAATTTTCTCTTTGTGCTCACCCACATGTTTGGGCCTAAGAAATGGGCTTGAGTTCCGAGGCTCCCAAGCAACCCGGGACTTCCATTTCTCGACCCATCAATGGGCCTCATGTCGATTTATTACCATCCATACCACAACCCACTCAAGCAAGCCCCCGGCATCTTGCGTGGCTTGGGCCCACTTAAACGTGTAGCGTGGCATGTTGCTTATTTGCTTGGCGTGGCATGTGTGCGAGCGCATATGACGAACTTTCGCGTGCCCAAATCGGGTTTCTTCTCGGTAAGGTATTGCATTGGGCCGAGAATTTATTTGGGCCGAACCGTGACTTTTTTGGGCCTCAACACTTGTCTCGATCACGTAGGTATAGGCATTGTTGGGTGTTTTGAGAATTTTCCAGTTGCCGGAATTTTCTCAAGACACCCACGCGTTGCCCGTGCCTGTTTAGGAGCAACTCAAGGATGACCAATTAAGGGTCCAGGTCTTTTCCGGGAAGGTTGGAGGGGTCGCAATGGTCCCGCTTAAAACCCAATCCTTCTTTTAAAGAAATTTCCTAGACACTGTAATTTTGGAGGTCACTTACTAGAGTTACCAAGAGTTTGCCCATTTTGTGGCATGACAGAGAAGAAAATGCTTGGTGGATTAGCTTAGCTTGCATGACTTATTTGCTTGAGTGACTAGAGAGGCTTGATTTTGCATGATTGTGTGCTTGGACGCTTGGCATTGGCATGTATGCTTGGCTCGGGCTTGTATGCTTGGATGCTTGGCATTGGCATGTACGCTTGGCTCGGGCTTGTATGCTTGGATGCTTGGTATTGGCATGTACGCTTGGCTCGGACTTGTATGCTTGGATGCTTAGCATTGGCATGTACGCTTGGCTTGGGCTTGTATGCTTGGATGCTTGGCATTGGCATGTACGCTTGGCTTGGGCTTGTATGCTTGGATGCTTGGCATTGACATGTGCTGGAAGGATGTTTGAAATAGGGCAGGTGCTGGAAAATGTTTTGTTTGGCATGGAATAGGTGTTGGAAATTCTCTGCTTATGGAGTAGGTGCTGGAAGAACGTGACTTGGCTTGGCATGATTAGCTTGGATTTGCAATGAGGACGTGGATAATCTAATGGTTGAGTTGAATCAAGATATAGCTTGGTCTGGCATGAGGGTTCACTCTTCTGGCAGCATGAATATAGAGCTTGTGCTATTTTCCAGAAGCACCTCGTACAACGCATCATTATCTTCCATGTTTTGCTTGGCTTGAATCTTGGTTATTGGGGTTTTGGAATTGTTGGTGGTGATTGCACTGAATTCATTCCTCAGCCGCCAAGTGCACCATAATCATCAGAAAAAGATTTGATTGGCATGAGTTGCAAAAACTATTGCAGCGTGGCCTTTTGAGTATTTGTTTAGGTCATTGCATGGCGTGGTGAACTTAGGATATCCCTTTGTTGCGATGGTGACAATTTGGCATGATATGGGGATAGCATGGCTTCTTCCCTGTGCTTCCAGCATCTAGAACTGCCAAGTTCTAACATTGTC